TAGAAATTATCACAATTGATAAAATGAAGTCTGATCTTCATTTTTTAATATTGAGTATCTGACTTACAGCTGCTTCAGTGAAATACTTGAAAATATTTATCTTCTTCTCTCCTCTACTTCCCGTTCTTCTCTTCTATGTCTTAGAAACAATTACAATTGGTTGATTTTTACACGATCTCATTTCATTGCTATTTTATGTTATGCTCATGATTATATGGTTGTCAACGTTTGAGCCCGATTGTCACAATAATCACTCTAGAACTATCGTTCTAACTACATGTATAGCCTCTTAACAGTTAACTCCTTTAGTCCAGCGTTATACATCTTCTAGTGAATGAAACATTTTAAGTGGTGAAGCATGTTATTCTTGTTTATTCGTTTCATTCACTGACTATTCTACTTTCAACAGTCAGTGAGGCAATGACGAGAATACAAAGAAATGCAATGTGCACTGCGAAATATGCTGTTATCGCCAACTTCTTTGTTCACGTAGATATAAATAAAACTTAATTCATCATTGGTGAGTTTATACTTACGACATATCTACTAAGGTTCAGATAGTTTATCACCATTTCCATCGCCTAGTACAAGAACGTGTACACAGTTGGTGAGTTTCAGTATTGATTATTTCTGGGAAACGATACATCACTGTCAAGCTTCGTTTGAGACATATAGGACAAGAATATTCATAGAAATCATAAAAAATCCCCATGAGGAATGACTGACTAGTCAAATGCAGAGCCTTTTTTAATCACATATAAAGGTTAATAAACAAAGTTGTACTTTTATCTGATTGAAGCGCGTATTGATTGGTTATGAAGAAACAATGAGTCATATTGGGAAAAAAAATTATTTCAGTATGTTAGTACTACATACTGCAAAGTCTATTTTCCTGTTTTTAAAAAGGATTTGCCTTAAATAAAAGTAAAACAGGAGAATCTGGAGAAGGGAGGGAATCTCAACTGCAGGTTCAAGGCAATCTATTGCCTCATTTCCCTTAGACCTACATTAATGACTCTGTTATAAACAACTGCGAAGTTTCACGCTATAGTTTGTCGTTGATTGAACAAGCCAAAACATCAGAATATGCCCGTCATAAAAGAGTTTATCATAACTCAGTAGCCTAGTAAATAACACTGTGAGCACCAAGTTCGAGTCCCAGTGGGGATTGCTTCACTTAGTCAGAGGCAGGTGCATCCAGCTGAAGAGTCGCAAAAAGAAGGAAACACGCCTCCTGAATTCTACTATTACTCATTATCTACTATTGGTATCAAAGTGTCATATTCATCATACTGCAATATTTAGGTATTTGACCTCAGATTTTTTATGATAACAACCATGTTTTAGATATTGATTCCCTACTTGCTGTCAATCGTTGGAAAAATGTACCTCATCTGAATAGTAACCTAAAATCTCAGGATGTTAGATAGACATTTAGCAAAATGACACTACAAAACATACTTTTTAAATAAAAGTAATGAGACGGTAGTGTTCAGCGTCCTTTTCATTCGGGCAACTGCATTACCAAGCTGGTAGAATTGTCATTATAACGAACACTCTAGAGCTCCACTAAAAACGTCTTCCATAAAACTACATGAAAGAAAACTGGTAGGATCTATTTTCGAATCGAACCCCGCTGTTGGTTTGGCGCAATCATGTGTCTACTATCCGTTTGGTATCTTTGGATAGAGCCTCTGCAATGTCACTAACTTTTAAAGGAATACATTTGCTGTCCTGTTCAACAAATTAAAATCAGTTCACTAAATAGCACGACATACATCCAATGTCGCCAACCAGTAGCTAGACTCATGTTCGACTTCATTGAATCTACTGGTCATGACTTCGCATTGGAACTTCAGGAATCACTTCTCGAAGCTAGTCACCAATGAGCGCTAGATTAATTCTATCTGGAGGTTTGTGGAGATTTATTGATTGATTCATCAAGGGCTGACATCAGTTGGGGGAACATTGGAAATCTGGGAGCACTAGACATGTTTCGTCCTAGTATGGGACTCTTCAGCAGTGCGAACCAATGACCCCGGACCACCGGGGATCGAACCAAGGTAATTCAAGTCCCGTGCCCAGTGCGTTATCACTGGGTAGGAATCCAATGGCCAATATTTCTAATAAGAAGTCGTGACTAGTGGGGCAAACCTGGTGGCCATGAGGACAAATACTCAACGATGACACTGGGTGGCGGTCGCGCTATGTCGTGAACTGACAGAAGTAGGGAATAGGAACCACTGAACCCCAAAGCAGTCGCTTAATGGTAACGTGCTGGCCACGGAACTTGAATGTCCAGGGTTCGATGCCAAGAGGGGTCACGGGTGTGCACTGCTGACGATTCCCATACTAGGATGAAACTGCTGTCGAGTGCTTCCAGGTTTCCAATGTCCCTTCAAATGATATCAGTCCATGGTGAATTCCAACCTAAAATCAATTAATCAGTCTCTACAAACCTCCAGATGAAATCAGAATTAGTTCTAATATTAAAAGATAGGACGACAACTATCAACTTGAAGCGTATATTGCGAAGTTCAAACACTTAGGGCAAAATGAACATATAAACAGTGCATTCACAACCAGAATGAAGCCATACCTACTCTTCACTCGTTCTCTAGCACTTTGCATTCTTCATAGTACAACAGCTGAAGAGGATTTCCAATGGGGCGGCAAAAATTCTAGATTGGGAAATTTCTATCGGTAATAATAAAAATACTGAATCTTACAACTAGGCCACATTTGGAAACATTCTCCCACTTGACATTTTAGTGTGCAGTGTTCTCACTTTTTACATTTCTGCTCGATAGTGTATCCCCCCTCCTCCGTAATCTGCACCAACTGGTTGTTATCATTTTTTGCAATTCCTGAAATGGCGGCTTATACTACTTATATGTGTCCTTTCCCAAGTACATCGATTCAACTGAAGCATGGGATATTCAGCTTCACTTTTGAACAAATATTATGACCGATTGAAGCCAGTGAGTAAACCTCTCCTGATAGAGGTCATGAAAGGTCTTATAAATGAAAACATCCCGACAAGACGATGAGACTTTACTCATCTTCAGTTATACCAAGGCGTCTTTCTTGTGCAGAGACCAGCTACAGGGCTGGTGGCGCCACCCCATCGCTCAAGTAAAAGTAGATGGACTACCTTAGGTTGGCAGTTGAGTGTCTAGGTCCTAGAGAACCACAACTGTGTGCGAAGTAAAGAATTAAAGCGGGATACTACCGTATCAAGCGTAGAAGTGCACATGAAGTTACGGAGTTACTCCACATTATAGAAACTTTGCTAAGTAGTATTGTGGGAAACGAGAAGACGGAGACGCAAGAAGGAATGCTTAAGATCGACATCTTGTACAGTAGTCGTCAAATATGGTACACCTTGCACTAAGACAGTCATTTGGATAATGTGCTTCGCTTCTCCTGCTTCCATATTGATTTGCTCTTTTAATACACCCACACTATCTTACGTTTCTCTGGGCAGAGTCTTTACCTATTGCTGGTAATGGCCTATGATTTCTGCCGCCCTCTTGACATTTACTACTTATATCCATTCTTATCAGCCACGCCTACTACAGTATGAATGAAGTATAAAGTCAAGTAAAACTAAGTACTTTACAGATCACATAAGATATACTGGTAATGATCTCTACGAACAACTTCACCCTTCTGGCACTATTACTCCAAGTTTGTATGGCTTCCCAAAAGTGCACAAAGATGGAGTCCTTCTCCGTCCAATTCTGGACAAGAAAAACTCTTCATACTACACAACTGCGAAACGGCCCGTGAAAATTCTTGGACCTGTAAAGAAAAGGTTCTTGGACCTTTTACTTGCCGATCGCTTCACGACTAGCCTTGATAGCAGTACGTTGCTCAAAAAATCGGTCACCTTCATGTATACAAAAGGTAAATGGGCGATACTTTCATTATTTATGATGACAACCTGAACTTGACATGCCTTCTTCAAAATTTCAACGACAACCACCCTTCAATCAAATTTGCACTAGAAGCTGAATCATACTTGACGTTTCATTGCCTTGATGTTAAACTCCATAGGATATCTGATAATTCTATTTGAAGATCCATAAACAAGAAGCCTCCTTGGAACGGTTAACTGACTGACTTACAAAGCTGACTGTCTTTAAGTAAGAGGGGGAATGCTGTTTGCTTACTCTCATCAAGAATAAGAAAGATATACATTGATGATACACTTACTGAAGAGTCAGAAGCCTTCCAAGAAATACTGTTAGAAAATAGCTACCCATCCAGATTTATATGGAAAAATATGTAAAACAAAGAAGACTACGGGACGGATTAAGTCAGCCCAGAAGAAGATACTTTTAATGAACCTTAGACTAAAAAATAATATTGCCGCAGATATCCTTCGTCAACATTTCTCAAAGTCCCTACGTAGAACATTCTATGCTACAAACCTCCGTAATGTGTTCTTAGTCAACAACTGATTCTTTAATGCGTAAAAAACAAGTTGGCGCATTGAGCCTCACCGATACGTATTAACAAGTTAACCTGTTCCTGTGGAACTGATTACATCGACCGTACTATGCTGTCGCTTGAAAAATGCACTTGTGAACATTACCCGTCCTTGTCGGTGAAGAGTGAGCATAAAACCATCTCCAGTTCCATCATTGAATATCTGAGAAACTCGTTCAAAGTTCTCTACAAGGTTCGACCGTACCGTTCATAAACAGGGTGAGGAATAGACAGTTCTGTACAACCAAAGCTTCGGTAATTCGCAGCTTCAAACCTCAGTTGTGTATTCAAAAGAAACATGTACAAACACTAATTTTATCATAGAAGTAGACACCTTTGTATATATTTTATTTCGAGTTTTATCTATTTATATATATTTTATCACATGTTTACTTTCTTATTCGTGCCAGATACCAAATCGTACTTACTGTTCACAGCATTATATAAAAAACCGTTGAGATCATATCTGGTGTTACGTAATATCATTTCACCCTCTATATATACTTGTCGTTTAAGTTTGGTCTTTGACTGGAAACAGAGCTAGACCATAAGGCCGGAATCCCGGTGGCCGCTGGTTCGAATCCGGTCACGGTCCAAATTTTTATTTTACTTTCAATCATCACCCGGTATAAATACTAGTCTCCCAAACCACGGCTATCTTAGATAGTCAAAATGAAAAAATAATTATTTTCTTTGTGACCTCTTTTTGTTTTTCAACAAGATATATTTATACATTCAAACCGAGTTATTCTTCAGTGTTGAGTTTAAACCGGCAAACCTTCCGATATAAAACTGAACACCATGAGTGCTAACTCACAGTGATGTTGGTATCCAGACTGACATCAGAACCTCTTCCAGCTGAGACTTAAGTTATGTATACAAATACAGTCGAATGGGATAAAAGATCAGATCATTAGAAATTCAACAAAAGCAATTTCTTTTACAAAACCTTGACTTAGTTTGTTAAGCAAATAAATCAATATGAGGTTCATTATTCTGTGAATTCTTGTCTTCACCAGTGTTATCATCATGATCATCATAACTTTTGGACATATATTTCTCTTGGATCATACCAATCCAATCAGGTGCTAGTTCAACACCTGAAGCTGAATGTAATAAACTTTGCAGACTGTGTTGTTCACTTGGCCCAAACACGTATCCATTAGCACGATCTACATAGCGCATAACACGTTCCATATGCGATAAATCTTGTATATCTAACAACAAGAATTGAACTATTGAACGATCTTGTATCAAATCAATAATGGCGCGATTTAAACGCTTATATTTAACATTGAACAAGTTGTTGTTATCATCATCAGTTTTGTGTAAACGATCAATTAAATATTGTAAATCTAATACTTCAGTGAAAAAATCTAAATTAAAATCTAATTCACCGTATTGTTCAATTAGATCAGCTTTACTCAATATATTTACATGTGGTATAGATAACTGTAGCATAGCTGACAGTGAAGTAAGTACACATGAGATAAATTTTCCAGCATCAGAACAATAATGTGAATCAACTAGATAGACTGAAGTAAGGCGTAAATCAAGACAACTTGGTGTAGTATCATTATTCTCAGATGATGATAATATAGACGGTAAGGATAAGTGTTGTTTATTAACTGTTCCCAAGATGGTGGGTTTATCGGTGAGATAACAGATAAGTTGACGCATACATGGATGATGTGTGTACAATTCAACCTTTTGAGAAAAAGAAAAAAACAAATGATAATGTGATATATTTTTTGAAAAATATACAAGAATTGTTGAAAGATTAAAATATCGAAATATCGCAATCACCAACATAACCACAGTGGAGTTGTGTGTCACTGGTTTAGGGAGTTGACTTTCAACCAAACAGGTCGTGGATTTAAGCGCCACTCCACCTACCAAGGTTTAGGTAGCCAGATAGTTTCATCAGTGCTTATACAATAGGTGTAGCTCATCGCTTACAGTACGAATGTGCACAAGGTTGCTGAGTGGATTTCCCCTTCAACTCAGATGTAATTACTATTGTTATTTTTCCTTTGGGTTCGTAGTGGAACATAGGAATTCAGTAGCACACCTCCATTTCACTCTCTTCTCTGCAGTCTTTTCAACCTGGCTCCACGACAGCCCAGAAGCTTTTGTTTCTTCCTCACACCATCTCCTTCATATCACCCTCGCCTCGGACGACCAACTCGTCAATCCCCTTTGGATTCCACTCGACTGCCTGACGCGTGATGTCCCTAATCGGCCTTCTCAGTGTGCGCCCAATCCATCTCCGTTTTCTTCTGCACATTTGTTAGGTGATAGGCTCTTGGTTGGTTCGTTCCCAGAGTTCCTTGTTGTTTATTCTTTCTGGCCATCTGATCTTCAGCATCGAGCGTAGACAGTTGTTGATGAATGTCTGTGTTTTGTTAAAAATACGTTTCATGACACATCAAGTTTCTGAACCTTGTAGAAGCGCTGACTTGACGTTGGTGTTGAAAATCCGGATCTTGTTCACACTTTATCCTGAGTGTAGTAGATCTCCACACTGGTTTCAGGTTGATGAAAGCCTGTCTTGCTGTCTTTCCGATCTAAGGTCTGATGCCCACATCTGTGCCACCGCCGTCACCTGTGGTTGAAACTATTCTGCCTAGGTAGGTTAAAGAGGTTGCTTCCTTTAGATTTCTCCCGTTAGTGGTAATTGGTGCTTGTTATTGTTTGTTGGGTATCTTCATCACCTATGTCTTCTCTACGTTCACCTGAAGGGAGTCCCATCTTTGCTGCGTCGCCTCGCCTCTTCCACCAACTTGTTAGTCTTGCCTGTAGATTTTCGGGTTTGTGCGACATAAGATATAAATCACCATCTGAGAAATCCAAATCTTCTAGAGTCTTTTCATCGGTCCAACCAGTGTATGCCTATCTTCCCGCTCCCCACAGTTTCTTGCATAATCCAGTCCAGTCGATCACAACCAGGAAAATCATCGGTGATGATAGTAGGCGGCAACATTGTCTTACTCCTGTCTAAACTTCAAAGGCATCATTGAGCTTTCCACTGTGAATTACTTGACATGTAGCATCATATAGCATATAGCTGTTGAATGAGGTTGATAAAAATTTGTGACACTAGAGCCGCAGTGTTGAAGCAGCTGCCTGATAAATTACTTCTCTGTCAACGCTGTCGAAGGCTTTTTCAAAACCGATGAAGTTGAGGTAAAGATCCAGTTGACTGGCATTCTATGCTCTGTTCTATGATGATGCGTAGCGTAGCGTTGCAATTTGGTCCGCACATGATTTGTACTTCCTGAAGCCAGCCTGTTCCGGTCGTAATTTTGAATCTAAAGCACTTTCTAGTCTCTTCAGGATGATGTGGCTTAATATTTTGCTTGGGGTGGACAGGGAAAGTAGCATGATTCCGCACCAGTTCTTGCAAATAATTGAAGATAGAACAATTAAAAAAGGGCTGATAACCATGGAAAATAAGAGATTTATCAGCATACTACTTTTGATTACAGAGTTCAGGTTTCAAAAGATCAATTACCGGTGCCGCCTCTACAGTGCTCAAGTCCAGGAACTGTGTTCCTTTCAAACAACTTAATTTACTACTATTTGGTGATACTTGGCGACTCCCCGTTGTTATACTGGATCGAACTGATAGCCCTCTGTTGGGAGATAGGCTTCTATGCAGATTGATGAATATTCATTGTTATAAGTCACTTGGTGATGGCCAGCAGTGAGATCCAAGACGTGCATTTTGTCCTATTTTGGAATCTTTAACTGGATGTACCTGCATCCCAGTGAGTGACCGTGGATAGCGCTTTGACGTCTTAAGCAATGGGTCCGGGGTTCGAGTCTCAGCTAGAAGACCATCACTCACTAGGCTGACGAATGTATTTTGATAAGGCTGTAACAAGTATTGAACTAGTAACTGACTTACCTTCGCCACTTGAAAGATATGCGGATAATGCTTTCGAATATGCAAAGAAAATGGACGCTTTGTCAGGTCTATGTAAATAGCTTCATAGAAGCTGGTACACTTGTAGACACACAACAAGATGACCCAAAGTAGTAGTTTGTTATAAAAACGTCCACAAATCAGTTACCGATTGGAGGAAACAATCTAGAAATGCTTCTTCGGAACAATTTGAAAAGCCGGTTTTTCTGCTCCAATATTTCATCTGGTATGAACATTTATAAACAAAGATATGACTGGTTTGTTCAAGTAGCTAACCGCGAATCGGATGATTAGAAAATTCGCCTCTTTCTCTCTCTCTCAGCTGAGTCAATCTAAGTATACCGCTGATGATCTCGGTCGGCAAACCACCAAAACGATCACTTGGTGTTTAGACCAATCTGATCTAGCTGTAGAGCATTGCTGATCGATATGCAAGGTCTAAAACTATTCATGGTAATCAGTAGTATATTTCACACAATCTTCAGTAATACAGGAATTTTCTGTATGCTGTTTGACTTTCAAGTGCTTCTTGATATAAGAAAAACCTACATGTATATCTATTTTGTATGAGTACCTTTTGAAGTCTTTCCACTTTTTATCGACAGTTTTTCATCTGTACAGTTCCTCCACGTCTTGAAGATAGTAAATAGATCCAATTACTCTTTCTAGTCAGTGGAGTTCAGCTTTGATTATAACCCTGTTGTAGGCGAATGGTATCTAGCACCGTCAAATAATCCATGTAACTTAAACTGTTTACATGACCCCATTCATATTACAGTGGCGTTTACAAAGGCATACTGTTAAGTTTTCATTTCAGAGAAATCTCTTCAATTTTCCAATAAGATTGTAACAAAAAGAAAGAATGACTGCGATCTTGAATTGATATTTATATCTTTAATATAACTGCCGTTGATTGGACCGAATCGATTGGTCTGTATTGGCATATGGGTTCCAGGGTGGATGTCTCAATATTACCTGTATTTTAATTATATTAGTGATGGATAGTGGCTGGCAGTGGAATCCAGGATGCGTATTTCGTCCTATTTGTGACTGGTTACCTGGATGTGCCTGCCTCCCAGTGAGTGATGTTGTTCCCACCGGGATTCGGACTCGAGAGAGGTCGTTTCAATCACCAGAGTGTTATCCACTGCACCACTGAGCCACGATAGCCACTTCTTATGCGACGGTATTTATATGATATATATGATATATGTTGGGGATCGTCCAACCAATGGATGATACCTTGATGATGGCCAAATGAGATATCCTTGTTGGAGCAAAAAATGTTCCTTAAGGTCTGTTGGAAAGGGATGAGATTAAAGCGAGGTTACTGTTATGCTAGAAATAAACTACGCTATGGTGGGGATCTAAGGACGAAGTCGTAATTTCACCTATTCAGGATATTTCACTTGGACAGCTGGTTCATTTTATAAATGATATTTCTTATCATTTTGACTGTCTGAGATAGCCATGGTTTGGCAGATTAGTATTGATACTAGGTGAAATGAAAATTTAGACGGGAGCGGAATTCGAACCAGCAACGGACCCGGTGGTCGCTGGTTCAAATCCCACAGCAGTCCAAATTTTCATTTCACCTTCAATCATCATCCAGCATCAAATGATATTTCGTTTATCTTCCTTATCGATTAGGCTCTTTGGTTCGTAAGCTAGACAAGAGAAAATTTGTGGGTATATGAATCATAATAATTCCAAATGGGCGCAGTAGTCTTTTTGTGATCTCTGTCAAGTTCTTTACCCAGGGTAGGATAATCCATTTACCACCTGCGAAGTTGGTGATGAATTGGACAAATATCTTCAGATGAAGTTGCACGGTTAACCATTCTTCTTTAGGACAGCTAACAAGTAATCTCAATCTCTCTGTACGATGGTTATACCGTAGTGGGTATTCACTCTTTAGAATGAAGTCTATAGATGTTGTTAGGTTGCTACTATCATAGCTAAGGATTTAATTAATATGCTTTCTGTACACTTGAGTCTCTAATTTCACTGTGTTAGCTCTACTGAACAAAACATCTAGGAATGACAGTCGGAATGTTTAAAATCATATATACAGTCAAAAGTTATTCAATACAAATAATTGCCCTATGTTAGAAAGGAATCATTAAGCTTCACATGAATGCAATTAAACATAATCTTGCTTCAGTATACCTATTTCAACTTATCATTGCATCAAGAACGATGAGTGAACTGGTTTCTGATGTCAATATCACAGAGGAAACTCGAGATAATAAGGTGAAAGGTAATTAGAAAACATTAGAGAGGCCTGTGCTTGTATACCTTATATTCTATACTTAAAATTTGTATATATTTGAAGTGTTTTTTAGCGCTATTTTTCCCGCACATGGGTCACATTCCATATAACCCGCTAGCATTTTGATTGGCTCCTGCCTCTTTAAACGTGCTAATTATTGTAAACTCTATGAATCGGTTTCATTTACACTAATAAACGTTTTCAGTTCGAGATACTAAAAATGGAGTCGATTACAGGTGTTTTGATTTCTCTTTGAAAGTGACTTGGGTTGAACCGTTTCAACTCTCGGACTGACAGAATCAACGTAGAACCACGCACACAACTGCATCAGCTCAAGTTGTCACACTTCACGATGATACACAAAAAAACGGGTGGATAGAAAAAAAGTGATATCTGAGTAGACAAAGTTCTGTGAAAAAATAAACATTCTGAAGATAAAGGTCAGTGTGAATATTCACGCTTTAGATGTCAAGGAGTGAATACAATTACGCCATTATGACCGATTTT